GTGCGGGCGGGTGTGTGTGAGAGAGAGAGGAGAGGAGGGAGAAGGGGGGGGGGGGGCAGGGCATAGCAGAAACATAGACAGTTCTTAGACAAAACATGGCAGAAAACACTAGACAACTATCCTACTTGAAAGCATGAACAAGTACAGCGTAGCAGCTACTTTGGAGAATAGCAGTATTAGTCTAATGTCTAACAGATTTGTGAGATTGCTACTATGTACTTGAAGTAACAAGATACAGAGTTGGACATTGTTACTATTACATGTATATCACTATGGAGAGTATGACTAATTGTGTGTATGCATTGTATCATATCCTTGTCAGAGTTCAATCCCTCCAACTATGCCGGCACATCCTATCCCTACTGTACGAATGTAGTAGATGTCGTCTATCCACCGGGATCGAGAAATCGCCCGTGAGGATTGTTTGCCAGCAGTCCTATTGTAGGACTGCTGTCTGCTGCCGCTGATTCTGCACGGGGGAAGGATATCGCACAGAACATGACAATCAGTCATTGTCATTGCTTTTAAAAGTGCCACTCAAATCATTTTAAAAACACACAGTATTTCTGGTATAAAAGGAGAGAGAGAGGGGGGGGGGGTTATCATAATCTTGGAAGTACTTACCACCCTCTAGGCATATAATGCATAATACATAAAAATAATTATGTCATTTGACTGCCGTTCATGTGCATGTGCTGCCATCCATAATGGCACTGGCACAAACAAAGCTTCTACATGGTGTCAGTTCAGAGCGAAAGGCACACTAGGAAAGTTAGGCCACACGTTTCTATTTCTATGTTTCTCGTCACCTGAAAATCTAAAAACGTATGCGAGAGGTGGAAAAAAATAAAAAAATGACCAAAAAAGAAAAAAAGTTTACCAGACCTTTGTTCACACTAAAATCCACCAATACACCATGCAAAATAGCGTCCATAGTTAGCAACTAGTATGCGGTAGGAGCTTCTATCACAATCTGTGCATGTGCAGCTAGATTGCCCACAAAAAAATGCCGACCTCGCATCATGTGTCGCGCAGGCCACGCCACATTATGTACATGTGCATGAGTGTGCTGGTACCCACATGCACAGTCAGTGCAGCACAGTTTTTTTCTTTTTTTCTTCCAGATTCCTGAATCGTATGGAGGCGGGTGACGAGAAACATAGAAATAAAAACATGTGGCCTTATACAATTTCAGTCGTACTGCTTAATAACTTTTTTCCACCATTGGTAAAGTTTTGTATGTACCGGCATCAAGTTCGTTGGGTTGCCAAAAAAATTCGAAGGCTGAGGTGTGGCCTGGTCTAGTCAGAAGGCATTCTCCTGTCTGTAAATCTGATAAAGTAAAATAAAATGACAACAACACACATCTTCAAGCATAGTACGTGCAAATACTGCGCTTGGTAGGAAGGTGCTTGGCGAAAAACGTGCAAGCACGATCCATAGGAGATTTTGCGAATGCCATCCATGCCACGCCGGCACGCCGGAAAGCGAAGCAACTTACTGTAAAACCAGGAATTTTCAGTGGTGTAATATTTTCAGTATTTCCCAAAATCAACGGTTCGGTTGCGCGAAAATTTCTGTAAACCAGTTTTCCAGATGAAAAAATGCACTTTGCACACCGTGTGACATGGTATGGTTGAATTTTAGGTCGCGAAAATAGGTTACCGAAAATAAACCTCCACAGAAATGTTCCGCTTTTACAGTAGCAAAAAACAAAATCACAGAAGAAATATGCGAAAAGACACTGATGAATTTTGTCAAAGTGCAAAGTGGGTGTACGACACCATCAATCACATACTGTAAATCATAATTATTATTTTAACGACCGGCAAAGTTAACGATTCTCTGATTTTCGAAGGTTAGCGGTTTGAAAAGTTAACGATCTTCTCAGACAGATGCAATAATACTAGGAATTCTACATTAAAGGGGAAGTTAAGGCAAAAATTAAAATTTCACCAGTTGTAGTCTTCGGGGTGCTGAGTCGAATGGTCGTGGTCCGAGGAAGCTGAGACGCTCCCTTCCTACTTTAATCCCAATCGAACTCGCGCACTTCCACCGAAACTGGGTGACTGCGCCCTACAAGATGGGGATTTGTATGCAAAATGTAACTAAAAGCGCCATTTCCTTCTTATAAAAGCACGGATGACCGCGATTGGCCCATATGTTGTAGTCTTTTGGACGCTGAGTCGACTGGTTTTAGTCCGAAAAGGCTGCGATGCAGCGTTCCTCCTTTATTCCCAATCGAACATGGTTGAACAAGCGGTCACGTGCTCCTGGGTGCCCAAATCACCTGGTCACCATGCCAGCAGGTGACAACTTTCACACCAAGGTTCAACTCGAGTTCAACTCGAGTGACAGGACTGCACCCAAAAAAGGTCAAACAGGCTAGTAAGTTGTACCCTGCAGGCACGGTACAACTTACTAGCCTGTTTGACCTCTTTTGGGTGCAGTCCTGTCACTCGAGTTGAACTCGAGTTGAACCTTGGTGTGAAAGTTGTCGCCGGCTGGCGTGGTGACCAGGTGATTTGGGCACCCAGGAGCACGTGACCGCTTGTTCAACCATGTTCGATTGGGAATAAAGGAGGAACGCTGCATCGCAGCCTTTTCGGACCAAAACCAGTGGACTCAGCGTCCAAAAGACTACAACATATGGGCCAATCGCGGTCATCCGTGCTTTTATAAGAACGAAATGGCGCTTTTAGTGACATTTTGCATATAAATCACCATCTAGTAGGGCGCAGTCACCCAGTTTCGGTGGAAGTGCGCGAGTTCGATTGGGATTCAAGTAGGAAGGGAGTGTCTCAGCTTTCTCGGACCAAGACCATTCGACTCAGCACCCCGAAGACTACAACTGGTGAAATTTTGATTTTTGCCTTAACTTCCCCTTTAACCCATTGAGGGCTACAGGGCCTTTCATCTGAGACTCTGAAGAAAATGCTAAAAATATGGCCAATGTACAGCTCCACAACTTCATAGTCTAAGAAACTAGGTTGTTGAACTCTTGTGAAATGTTGACCAAGGCATATAATCATCACGCTGACCAACTCGATATAGTTCCTAGAAAGGGGAACAAGATGCTATACGACACGTAAGTTCATCCAAATTGCGTAAAATACGAAAAAGTCGGCAATTTGAGTTGAATCACCGGACGAAAAAGAAGAAAAAAAAGTATCCAAGCGGGATTCGTACCCGCAACCTCTCGTACTGAATGCCGGAAATGTACCGCTCGACTCTGGGGTCTCTTGCAACCCTACGCTGGAACACGGAGCTTAGTACGGTAGGATAGCCTGTCAGCCCGAGTATATTCGGGCTCAGCGCCCTGACGTCATCCTGAATCCCGAATATATTCGGGCTCAGCAGTCAATGGGTTAAACTCGTTGGGCCTCTACTGAATTCAATGACCACAACAAGAAAATAATTCTCTCATTTTGAGTATGCATCGTTCTATTTTTCCATCATAACATTGGTTCCACTTTACCAAATTTAATTTGACCCATCTTGGGCTCCTGGAAAGTTCTTGGAGAGGAGACTACAATGAGCCCAAACTCGTCAAGGAGATTCATTGTTGTCCATCACAGTATACCAGGAACTCTGCTGCGACATGGTCTTGAGAAACAAGACATCGATCTCAGGAGAATAAAGAATTGAAATTATCCAGAGGGTAAAATATTCAAATTTTTCGATCTCCTGCCGCTTCGTCAAAATTCATCTGAGAGACTTCGGAGTTGTTCGAGCTGACTGCTGAGTGTCTCTGCTATCATCTAGATCTTCCGATTGTTGAATTCCGTTGAGAATTGACCGAGTTACGATCCGTTGAACACGCGCTGCATGCCATAATGTGAAATGATCGATTTCAATCGTGCGATGCCCAAATGCATACGACCAAGAGTATATGGGGTTATGTACACTTGATACGACATATCTTTGCTCGTTAACTCGTTGGATTTACTTGTTCGGTACATATTCATGATCTACAGTAACTAGGTACAACTTGTACAAATCGACTAGCAACTCTTGAACCCACTATACAACTTTTGCTGTAAAGACTGCACACCGCATTGCGAAGGTTGAGTCTCGATTACCTGGTCGCAGTGGGTGCATTATGCTTCACTGCGGGTGCAATTTGGACTGCATTGCAAAAATGCTGCTGCGAATTCCGCATATCGCATTGTGTACAGTCAACTTCGCTAATAACGACTGCGGGTATAACGACAATTCGCGAATAACGACAGAATTTCCATGCCCAGAGCAAAGTCCCATCCCACGGTAATACATACTGTAAGACATGTATATATAACGAGGAAGTAAATCTAACGTTTTAACGGATGACATTTTTTCGTTATAATAAGATCCGTTGAGGCCGTATTGCTTCATATATGCTGTGTGTGGATATGGCAGAATACTGCAAGATCGTTAACATATCTTCTCGTTAACCTATGAATTTTGGACAATCGTTAAATTTGCGACTCGTTATAATAACATGTCTTACAGTATAATGAGACTTCGGGTATAACGACACTTCGCGAATAAGGACACCTTTTTGATGCCCCGCCGAGTGTCGTTATAAGCAAAGTCGACTGTACTGTACACCACGCTCTTTTTCGGTGTAACTTTTAACTTTGATGATTTCGGTAGAGAAACCAGGCACCTAAATTTAGAATTTTAGATTACACCTAAATGGCACTGGACTATGCACTGTATGTAATGGGAACGCTGGTCGCCGAAATCTACTTCGAAGTACGTCACACCTGAAACCTGGTGGTCCCCTGACACTGAAATGTTACTACACCTAACAGTACAGTCTGCGAGTGCTTAGAAAAGTACAGTCCTGCTCAATGAAATCCAGTTGCGGCACTCAAGTTTGCGCCTTGCACCATTTCGAATCCCAGTGTTCGCATGGCTAGGGCTGCGCAACGCCCGGCGCGTACCTGAGTGCATCGACTGGATTTCATTGAGCAGCACCGTACATGTTATACAGAATACTGGTTCATTGAGGACGT